GTTGTTTGTGGGTGTGTGGATGTTCCTGGGTGTGTGGATGTTCCTGGGTGTGTGGATGTTCCTGGGTGTGTGGATGCCTGTTTCTGGGTGTGTGGATGTTCCTGGGTGTGTGGATATTCCTGGGTGTGCACACTGGAGGGTGCTCGCATTTAGAGAAGAGGGAGCTCATTGTGCTGGGGTCCTGTCACAGGCAGGGAGCGAGATGGAGGAGCTGAGCTTTTGGCATCTGGTTGCTGTCAGGGAGCAGGCGGTGACTCTGGGGCACTGCTCTGACTTCCCTTATCACCCAGGCTGGATGAACTTTAAGTAATTTTTTGTGCTAATTCAAAAATTTGGGCTCAGCTTATGATTTGCACTGCTTATATTACATATGCTTAATGTACCTATATGCAAGCTTGTACTTAAATTATTTTCCTTGTTAGTGTATTTCTCCTTGTTTATATGTGTATTTATTCATGTTTTCCTCAGGCTGTTGTGAATGCCACTGGGAGCTAAAGATGATGTATGACACATTTCAAAGAATTATAATAAAAGACAATGGAGCATATTTCTTTCATGCCTGAGTATATTAATTCTTGCTTATATTAGAAAATGCACCAAAAAATTGTAAACAAGAAATCAGTTGAAATCAGATTATGAATAATGATATGCAGCCTCATCTCAGATAGCAACAACAACAAAAAATCAGGTTTAACTGCTAATGGGCTTAGGAAACATTTTTCTTTTTCAAAGGAAATTACTCAATGGAATAAAAAACGTGCTTTCTAAAATAAATGGATTAATTTATCTTTTGTTCCAAGATAAATAAATAATCATAAATACTGTACTTAACATTAACTTTCTCTCATACTTGTGTTGGTGATGGAGCCTGACCTTGGCTTTATGACACCCATGTCTGCTTTTTTTAAAACTCTTTCTGGGTTTTATGACTGCTCCTTCACCTGCAATCCTGCAGTTTGCTGGTCACTGAATCTGATTCAAAGCATATCAATAGGAAAATTCTTTCCAGCTTCACTGGGTTCTTGTATCAGGCTCTGATTTCATCTGATCCTCTTGCCCATAAAGTCCTTGCAACACTTCTAGAGACTTCAGTGTCTCCCCTGGCTCTCCTTCTGTGTATCATTATGTACCTACACTCACAGTTCACTTTTTTTCATTGACTTTTCCAAGTCTGTTGCACCAGAAATTTTTTTCCACGTAATTTTTTTTTTTTTTAAATGCAGTTTCCAAAAGGTTGTGGAGTTGTTTTCTTTTTTTAAACACCGGTAACATGTAATTTCTTTCCTGCCTGCATGTTTTTAACCTTAATGCCAGAGGATAAGAAAATAAATAGCACTGTATTTACATTTCAGATTCAGTTTAAGTGTGTGAGTATAGAAAGATAAATTTTCCTTTTGGTTACATGAATAAAGCTCCATAAGTGTTTGCAGGATTGAGGTTTTAATTTGTAACCCTGATCTGGCTGCACGAACAATTCTAATAAAGTTTAATGAACATTATTAAAAGTTTATATGCAGGCAAATAGGGTTGCACATTTGGAGTAGCCATTACTACTCTCCAAAAGAGAAGTGGCTTGAGGTAGCTCCAATTTTCCATTCACAGAAGTAGGGGCGTCAGGACAGTAAGGAGCAGAACAGGATCCCCTTATCTTCCAGACAAAACACAACAGAGCAGTGGGGCTTTTCACGGGCTCCAGAAGTGCTTCTTTAGTGAAGAACACACTTCCATAGAATAAGAGTTCACACCTGAGGTGTAATGCTCGTGCTGCTCCATCCAATCCTGCAGCCTCAGGGTGCAGACAGAGAGCTCTGGCCAGTTGTCCCTGAGAGCCAGCCGTGCCCCACTGGGGTGCACTAAGGAGGAACACAACAAACGTCCCATTTCCCTGGTGTGCACCAAGCCATGCTCTGGAGCTGTTTCTCAATCACTGACTAATTTTTCTGTCTCAGTTGAGAAAATATTACAGATACTAGTAAAAGACTTTCACTGAAGCAAACTTACCAGTAAAAAAACTGTTCAGTTTCTTCCTTCTTTGCTTTGGCTTATCTTTATCATGGAAGGAAATCTTTACCTGGATCAAAATCCTGCTGTAAGGTTTGCTCAGTAGAAGTTAGCACGCAACTCAAGCAGTTATTCCAGTGAGCTGGGTTCTTCACCTGTGGCTTCAGACTGAATGTCTGAGATGAGAAGGTCTGACCTGGAAGAGATAATCATGTCAATAAATTGATTTTTTGAAAAATCTCATTGGTTCCAAGGGAGGTTAGCCCTGCAAATGAAGTTACTCATGTGCTTAACTCTTTGCTGGATCAGGTACTGTAAACTCTCTGGGGGAGGACCCATGTTTTCCTTTATTTGTCTGTAAAGTGCCATGTATACCTATGGCACTGTATAAATAAATAATAATAATAGATACAATAAAAACCATCTAGGGATTAAGTAGGCCTTTTAAAGAGGCCAACTGTTCTTCACATAAATCTTGGATCTAATTTGAGCTCTAATAAGCTCCATTTCCTGCTTTTCCAATATTTTTAAGCCGCATTGCAATAGCTATCTTTTTTTTTTTTTAACAGGTGTTTTAAGAGGGCCCTAAGGCAAGTATCTAATCAACCTAATGGAATTTTCCATGCAGTTAAGTGTTTTATTCAGCTCAAAACATTGTCTTTGATTAGACTTACCACCTTCCCTTTTGCCCTTTTACATTATTTTGGCAGGCTGTGCAGGTGGGAAAGCTCCATCCCCACTGCAGCTCCATCATGTGTAAAGCAGCCTCTTGGTGTGTGCCTGTCCAGTTGCCTTTGAGCCAAAGGAGAAAACTCTGGAGGCAGTTAGTTCTAACTCCCCAGCCTTGGATGTGCCTGTGCCACTTGGTGGCTGTAGGATGGCCTTTTGTAGAAGGTACTGAGTTTTTAATGAGCCAGCTCACATCCTGTGAGTGGACCCTGCAATCCAGACCAGCTATCCTGCAGGATTTGTCTGGATTCTGGGCTAGGCTGCAGAGTCCTCTGAATCCTGGCTGCTGAACCTGTGCTGAGCCTGAACTGGATTAATTAACGCTCACTCATCTATGCCTGTGAGAACCAGAGTCCTCTTAGGTGGTAGTGGAGGTTTTTCTGTAGAATGTGGCCAGCTCAGGTGCTTTAAACAAACTCTTTTAGCCTCCCAACCTTATTTTTAACTTGGCTTTCTAGAATGAAAATTGGTTTAAATTATATGAGGATATAACTTATTACATTATGCTTAATATTTTCCCACCTACTGAGGTGTTGTGAGGATTTTTAAAGTAATATTTATACAGCATTCCGAAGATAAAAGCATTGCATAACTGATAATTATTATCTACATTTATTTTCATGCCTCAGTTGAAACATCTTTTTCTCTTTGTCTAAGATACTTAATTTTTCTTCTGCTTTTTTTTTTTTTTTTTTTTTAATTACTGTGTTATTTAACTTTGAGATTTCGGGGTATAATTTCGGAGAAGAAAACTGCTGTACAGATTACATTGTACTGTATCAGATAGTTCTTCTCTTTTTTGTTTTTCATCCCATGATGAACTGATGCTTTCACCAATCCAATCTGCAACCAGAGGTTTATTCATGCCAGAACAGAAGAATAGTTTGATTGTTCAGGAAATCAGCCAAGACTCAGAAGGCCTAGATTTTCTCCATTCTGATGCAGGTTTCTTGTCTGACATTGAAAAAATCACTTAATTTCTTCATGTCTCAGCTGGCCATCTGCAAAGCAGAGATGGTGCTTCCCTACTGTGTACTCGGGTTTTAATATTACTTTTCTATATGAGGCAGTGCTCATAAGGGTGGTAGGAGAACCAATATACTTCAAAAGGCATTTTTGATCTCTTTGTCTGCAGATCACTTATAGATCCAGTGACTTACAGAATGGATATGGGGCCTACATTTCAGAAATACATACTAATGTAACTCTCAGTTATCTATTTGGGGTTTTTTTATTCATAATATTGTATTTATATTTTTGTTGAATTTATTACAGCTATATTTATTCATTAAATAAGGCAGTTTCTATATTATTTGGAAAGAATCGGTAAACAATCTTTTCAAGATAATTAATAGGCATATCTCTATGGTCCCTGACATTGTCTGCTTTCCCAAAAGAAGATATATGCAGTACTTAGTGACTACAAGAAAAATTACAATGAAGCTCTCTCTGTAAATTTTGCTTTGGATATGTATTTCTGTGATTTTGTGCCAGATACAAATAGCCATTTCATTTTGTTACCTGGAAATCATGTGTTCTTGCCATGACATGCAAAGACATATTTTCATCTTTCCTAATATCTTCATCCATTTGTGACATTGATTGCTGTTGGTGGACTGTATATTGGAAATTAGATATGGAAACATATATATTCATCCTCCTTTCTAGGAGGAAGCTGTTATACTCAAATTATTCTCTACTTCACGTAGTAGGGGGAAAGTATGAAGGTATTGTACAACATATGATCAAACAAAAGCTTCTAAACATAAACATTCATGGTTTCATTACTTTCTTGATCAGCATGCAGTGCTGAAAAGGTGGGTAAGATGGAGACAAAAATTTATCATATTTCAACTGAATTCAGTTATGCTTTTCAAATGGTTCTTCTATCCCAGTGGGAATGAACCATGGCAAGATAATGTTACTTAATAGTTTTATTTCTGAAATGCATCTTCTTTTCTCTATGCATGCAAGTGCTTTACAGCTTCAATAAAAACCATTGTGAAACAGACGCTAAAACATTATCCTAAATATCATTTCACTTTCTGCCTTAAATGTAGGCATTAAAGTAGTAAAAGGAGGTCTACTACAAAAGTAAAAATGAAAAACAGAAAAGTTTGCATGTGGTGATTGCAAATCATTCTAATGATCGTGTTGAAGTTTCTATCAGCTGCAGCTTCAGTATCTTGAAATTGTGCTGGATAGACTCAGGTCCAAATTTCACCCTTGAAATAAGGTTGGTTGCTTGAGATGTCAGATATATTCTAAATGTATTCCTAAGGAAGAATGAAGAAGTTACAACCCATGAAAAGCTTTGAACTCTTTATACTTTGGCAGTTGTTAATGTTCAAATAATTGGACTGACTCTGACTGGAAGCTGATCCCACAGTGCCGTGGCATTCCTGTCCAGTTCTGGTGCTCTTCCCCTGCACATCCAGGGCTGAAAGGGGAATGTGCCACGAAATGTGCCATGATCCTTTGCATTTGGGCAAACTCACAAAGGAACCTACTTGTAGCCAAAAACCACTTCAGAGAAATGTACCTCAGGAATGAACAATTCATTCAGGACTGTCTGAAATACACTTTGGCACTACATCTAGAATATCTGTATGTTTGACTTTCTCTTACAAAAAAAAAAAACTGTATTGAAAAACAAATTCTACCTCACTAGGGAAGGTTTGTAAGCTGTGTCCTGCAATCACTATTGTCTTAGACAGAAATAATAGATTCTGTTAAAATGACCAGCACTTCGGGCAGTAGATATGTACATCAAGTGGTTTTCTCTTAGCTCTCTGTTCCTATTTGTGGTACAAACACCAGAGTATTTTATTGCATTTTGATGCCTACTGGCTTCTGACAGATGTACTTTTTAACCTGCACAATGCTATCATTGAGCTGCCTAAAGACTTGCTTTTCAACTGAGCTTCTGCAGAGCTGCCAAAGGTGAAAATACATCAGAAATTAATTTATTTGCCTTTCACTAAGCGTGGTGATACAGGCAATAGAAGACAGTACTATTATTTCTTCAGAGACCAAAAGTAGCTATCTCCTATATAATTTTTTTGCCTTAAACTTGAAGCTAAAAATAGCAATAAAATCTCACTAAGAAGTGAATACTCAAACCTGAGGTGTTAAACAGAGCTCACATTAACTTAATTTTAATTATTTGTTTGGAAGTTATTAAGCTTTCAGAAAAGACATCTAGAAATGAAAAAGCAGGGCAGTAAAAGATCAGTATTACAGAACAAAACATGTACTTACTAAAAAGGGCAGTAAATGTTATGATGCCAGGTAGATCTTAGAGTGAAAAGAATGTGTGTAACTCTGGACAGTTAACAGGAAACAAAATTATGTACAGAAATCTTTTCCTGTAGGTCAATGGTTGTGTGGTTAAGTTGCTCCATCACAGTACATTGATAGGTATTTTGATGAATTTACCAATCGTAAGTCCAGAATAGACATGTGGGACCCCTGATAAATCCCATTTTAGGCTGAGAACAAGCTGAAGTAATGAATCCACTGAAGAATCACTTACAGGAGCCCCCCAGGAGTTTTCTGTGGCCACTGCCTGGAGTGGTGTCTCACTTGAATGCTTTCCTTTCCTAGCGTAAAAAATCTTCACACACAACCCTAAATTTGTTTTCTCCCCTTCACTGAGGGAAGTCCTCCATTAGCTTCTGGTCTGTTTGTCACCTTGACATCAGTTGTGCTCATGATCTTTTTCTGCACGTATCATCAATTCATTACAGAAACACACTCTGCTCAAAGAATTCAGGTCAAGTGTTCCCAAACATTAAAGCTATTTGAAAGCCAAACCCAACTCTGCATCTAAATTCTGCAGTCCTTGGGGAATAAAAACAAAATGCATTACTGTGATGTTGGCTCAGTAACGTAATTAGCAAACTTGTAGTTGACTGCAGGAGAACAGGTTTGCATCCCAAACATCAATAGCTCCAGCCACCAGCAGGGTTTGAAATAAGAAGTTGGATGTGAGTCCTGCTTTATTAATTTCTGCTGAAAAGTGAATTTAACTCTACAAAGTGTTTTCTGCTTACATTTTATTTTGTTACTGTCCTAACCAAATTAAACTTTCCTAAAACAATCTGAGGATTTAAATGAATTTCCTGTCCATGCACACTTGTGATTTTTTTTGTACCACTCATTTCTTTCTCGATAGCACATTGTTTTATTCTTTAGTCTTAAAAAAAAAAAGAGAGAGAAAAGAAAAACCTGACACAAAAGTGAATTTTTTTTTATTGCATTTCATTTTAAGTCGTCTTTTTAAAGATCTGTCATTTATACAATGACAAGAAAACTTTCTAAATTGGAACTAATTTATGAATTCCTTCTTTTTGGCATAATGTCACTTTGCAAGTTAAAATGATAATGACTAGAAAGATCAAATATGTTTATCTAAAAAAAGAAGAGGGGTTTTAAGAGTTTGTG